ATTCTCTCTAAGTGGGCAAACCATTTCACTTGCTGTCTTTGTATGTAATCCAGAATTGGTACTGTGCCGACTTGTTCTCTTATGATCTCATTCCTGATCTTATCTCTTATGGTCACTCCTACAGCCCTTCTCAGACATCTCATTTCCGTGGTTACTAATTTTCTTTTATGGTTTGTTGTAAGTGACCATGTCTGGCACTGGTAGCACAGAGTTGGAATAAATATGCTTTGAATAAGATGTCTCTTTGTGCTGATTGGGATTGTCTTATGCTGTAAGAGGGGAGCTAGCTGTCCCAATACTTGGTTTGCTTTACTGCATCTAATGTCAATTTCTTTATCCAACCCTCACTCTTTACTTGCAAAATGTCTTAGACTTGTAAACTAACCAAGCCTGGGACTTTTATACTTGGTCTTTTAATTATAACATTCAAAGATAAGATATGACTGGCTGATTCTAATGTGTTAAACAAAATATAACAAACTATCAACTGTTAACTCTTTCATTCCAGGGGGTTTGGCATCAGATGCCCAAGGAGTAGTACACAGAAATGTAAAATCAGCATATCCTGCATTCTTTGGGCTTCTGTGTAGGAACCTTTGAATGTATGAAGTGTTCCTTAGGACTGAAAGAGTTAATGCTGTTTTGGATCAAAGGTTGTGTAGAGGCAGGATCGCCCAGACCGGTCATGAACACACTTGATAATGATGATGACAGTATCAACTGCAGAGAAAACAGCTCAATGTTTTCCCCTGCTATTGCTTATAGTAAAGAATGAATTCATAAAATAATCAACATGTATCTCTTAGACTGTGATCTTGTCTATTTCACGCCGGTATAAAGGAGACTGCATAAGTTACCCTCTGCTCCTGACCTGTTGTTAATCACCCTGAATACTTCTGACTTCATGTCATTCAAATTACTCCAAACTGTGCAGAAAAAAAAAACACATCTGCACTTAACAATTTTGTTGTCTTCTTTATGTTCACCGACTGTGTACAACAGAAAGTTTTGACTGTTCATCCACTTCTGGACTTTAGTATTCTTCCAGAACTTGAGTTCTGAGTGCACATCTGTTTTACAGATCTGGTATATGTGTATGCAGACTGGTGGTTCCTAACCTTTCAGGCAGATGCACTCCAACTTCGAAGGAAACATCCCTAATTAGTCTACTTTTATAACGTGCTTGTTAGGGGATAGTGCCCCCCCCCCTCCCCCGGAACCCACATGGATCCACGGGAATCATAAGTAATTCTACTTTTTCCTGCTGGGGATCCATATCTTTCTGGAGCCCCTTATCCCCCAATGAAGAAGAGACCATCTCATGTCAAGTAGTAGTCCTATCCTTTGTAGCTGACTCCCTCACATTGTTTGCCTCATTCTCTAACTCTCTTCTCAGCATTTCATGGTCTGCCTTTGTTCATCTGACCCTGCTGGTTCCAGTGTAATGACATTCTTCTCCTGCCATTTATTCCCCAATGTAGCATAGGCCTTCAATCAGCTCACGTCAAGCCATCCTATTTGTTGCTATTTCATGCAGCTCATCCCATGTCCTTCCTATCTTTTTAACTTCAATCTCTAGCTCCATTCTCTGTGTGATTTCTGGCCTGCCTTTATTTCTATCACCCTGTGGGTTCCAGATATTCTAGGTATATTTTGTCAGGGTTGTCTCAACCTGTGTCCTATCCAACATCGGCATTTTTTCTTCACCTCATGATTCATTGAAATTTGTTTAATTCTCTTCCAAAGTTCAATTTTAGTGATTCCCTGATACCATTTAACTTCCTCTATTCTGTGCAGGCACCAGTTAATCTTTGCAGCTGAATGGTAATTGTTTTAGTTATTCTCTGCTTCCATTCCATGTAATGAGATTCTAGTTCTATAAATTCTACTTTGAAACCTGTTTATACAAACTTTCAACCAAGAATCCAACTTACATTTTCATCAAAGGAATTGTGACAAAACTTATAAAAATAATTGCATGGCTTTCAGGGCAAAGTGGTTCAACCGTTTGCCCTGTGCTCTATATATAATCTCCTGTTTTAATTTTATGGACTGCGCTGTTTGGTTCCTGAGTTCAATTTTAAGGAGATACCTGGGGATCACTGCCAGAACTATGGAGTTCATACTCTGTGTTCCATGGAGACAGGAAAAGCCATATAGGATAAAATGGTGGAATGAGCTCCACTGTCGATTCCCAATTTAAAAACTTCAGGCAAAATATGTTTGATTTTAAAAACATTTTACACCAGCAACTTATGATAATGAAAAACAAATTTAATAAAAATTAGATTTTAATTAAGTCCATCAACAAAATAACAAAGATTTCAACAAAATAACAGAGCTTTCAACCAAAGAAAAATATAAAATCTTTAAAAGTAATCAGGAAAACTGAAAACAAGTGAGTATCCAAAGTAAATCATAACTGTTGAGCAAACAAATATGTTAGAAAGTTTGTTGGAAATTTACCGCAGTGGTTACTGTAAAACGACAAGTAACCGGTCGGCTTCTCATTCCCCATAGCTCCTAGAATGGAGAATTCATTCTTTCATATGTTTCATATGAAAACTTAATGGTGATCGAGACAGGATTTAATATCGCGACAACTGGCATAGTGATGATAAATGTTCTCTTTCTATGTCATAATCATCATGTGCGGTGCCTCTTCCTGTGTGGGTTCAGGGGCCCTGGAGGGGGGGAGGGGGGTGGAAGGGGGTTGGAGAACAGACCCACTGACTCCCTAACAAGCATGTTGTGAAAGGTCACTAATTGTGTCCCCTGAAGTTGGAGCACATCTGTGTGATCAGCAAGGACGCAACAGTCTGCACTCAAGTAAGCCAGATCCGTAATTCGGATGTGCATGTAAAATTCAAGTTCTGGAACAAGATGATAGTTCAGAAGTGAATGAACAACAAGAAATTTTCCCTGGGGATCTCCTTACAAATTTCATTTGTGAACTAAACGGCAAAGCTGTGAAACGAACGCATGACCTACAAGGCGAGGCAAAGAGCTTGACCACTTTGCCATAGAGACCCCTAACAACTTACTTAGACCTATGAAAACATTGTACTCATTATCTCAACGATGCAGTCTGCAAACATGCATGATCTTTAGACAGCGAGGCAAATGGCTCATCCATTTTGCTACAGACATTCACCGTATATGTCAAATGTCATGAAGATTTGTGACCCAAAATGTAGACAAATGTTAGTTTGTTCACACTAAAAAGAAAAGAGGGGAGAGATAAATGTTGGTTTATTTACACTGACAGGTGACCGAGCGAAGAGATAAATGTTGGTTTATTTACACTGACAGGTGACCGAGCGAAGAAATAAATGTTGGTTTATTTACACTGACAGGTGACCGAGCGAAGAGATAAATGTTGGTTTATTTACACTGACAGGTGACAGAGCGAAGAGATACATGTTGGTTTATTTACACTGACAGGTGACAGAGCGGAGAGATAAATGTTGGTTTATTTACACTGACAGGTGACAGAGCGGATAGATAAATGTTGGTTTATTTACACTGACAGGTGACAGAGCGGAGAGATAAATGTTGGTTTATTTACACAGACAGGTGATAGAGCGGAGAGATAAATATTGGTTTATTAACACTGACAGGTGACAGCGGAGAGATAAATGTTGGCTTATTTACACTGACAGGTGACAGAGCGGAGAGATAAATGTTGGCTTATTTACACTGACAGGTGACAGAGCAGATAGATAAATGTTGGCTTATTTACACTGACAAGTGACACAGCGGATAGATAAATGTTGGCTTACTTATACTGACAAGTGACAGAGCAGAGAGATAAATGTTGGCTTATTTACACTGACAAGTGACAGAACGGAGTGATGAATGTTGGTTTATTTACACTGACAAGTCACAGAACAGAGAGATAAATGTTGGCTTATTTACACTGACAAGTGACAGAGCGGATAGATAAATGTTGGCTTGTTTACACTGACAACTGAGAGATTGAGGAGATACACATTGGACTGTTTATACTGACAACTGACAGAGCGGAGAAATAAATCTTGGACTGTTTACACTGACAATTAAGAGAGTGGAGAGATAAATGCTGGCCTGTTTACACCGACAATGAGAGAGTGTTGAGATAAATGTTAGCCTGTTTACGCTGAAAACTATGACAGTGGAGAGATAAATGTTGGCGAGGATCCTAAAATACTTTGGGTTAATTTTAAACTCCAAATTTTGCCTGGGCAGAGCAGTTAAGCTACTTGTATGTGCTCAAGAACAAACACAGGCGTCCAATCTTACTACCCAAAGACCAAGGGATATTACTAGAAATGCACGTGACAAAACAGCATAACATGATGACTTTACTGGGAGCTGAGGAAGATTAGGATGGATTCTGTTCTGCATTATATGCAAACCGACATAACACATTTGTAAAAATCTGAATTACGACAAACAAGTCAAGTATTCAAGCCTATAAACATTTATCCAATACTAAGGGTTGACATATGGTGGGTATGAAAAGTATTAAGTAGGTATAGGCCTAATTCAGAATCTGTATGTGGCAATGTAAGTGTATGTGGTAATGAGCAGGCTGCTGCCAACCCTCTGGCCAGTTAGCTACTTTACTATACAGCGGATGTAGTGAAGGCTCTCTGGGATCAAGTGAATAGTGCAAAAAAAGGACACAGCAACCATATCAGGAGAGAGAATGATTCAGCTTCAGAGTGTCTGTACAATTTTCTAATCACAAGGGGGGAAAAAACAAGAAAACTTTTAATCAGGCTGCTACTGGCTCCATTAGTATGGGAAATCTTCACTGGTAACTGAACAAGGTGACGGAGCACATTTGGGAAGGTCTTGAGTACAGTCATGTCAAATCTTCATTCATTCTTTCATTATTTTCAGCTGAAAATTATGAGGCAGATTTTATGCTATAACTCGATTTGTCTGCTGCAATTTGCAGTAAAAGGATTTTGTTCACCTAGAATTTAACCACTAAGAATTAAAAATGTCCTTACATTATAAGACTTAAAGAATCCCAGGTACCGTAGAATGCCAACATAAGTCAGGAATACGCCAAGCCCAAGTAGAATGCTGCAGATTTCATAATTCTCGGATGAAATGGAGAATACCTGTAACACAGACATCATATTACTTTTTTTTCCCTCCATTATGAACTACTTGCAGACATCAATAATATATTCAAAAAGGTTAAAGGTGAGCAGATCAACTTCACTGAACCACGTTTTACTCTATATGGCTTCTTTAGAATTAGAGATAAAGAGATGGCATGTTTCCTTTTCATAAGTGATTTAAAATATCAAATACCTAAGACAGAAAGAGTTAAACATTAACTCCAAATCAACTCACAACAGTTATTCCTAGATAGTTACTTTAACTCTTCTGCTTCTTTTTCTTTGTGTTCACCAGTTGTAAACTCCAGTGGAAGGTTTTGGTTGCTTGTCCACTTCTGGACTTTAATCCTGTTTCAAAACTTGGGTTTTGCATGCACATCCATTTGACAGATCTGGTTTATCTGTATGAAGACTGTTGGTTCCGTGTCTCTCAGGAAGATGCATTCATTCAAAAGAAACCCCTTAATTAGCTGACTCTTATGAGATGCTTGTCAGTGAGACAGTGGGTCTATTACCCTCCCCTACCCCACCCCACACACAATGGAGCCTCAGAGCCTACAAGAAGATTAACTCTTTCACAATTATTTGTTACTTTAAAATACCAACTTTCAGAGAATTTATCATTTTTAGATCTTCTTCCTCTGTTAATACTCTTAAGAAAGAAATACTGGTCCTATCCCAGACCACCTTGAATATCCCCCAAAATGTATTACCTAATACAATTATCGCAATTTAAAAAGTAGAGCTACAATATATTAAACTTACCCTATATTCCTACAATCTGTTACAATTAATACATAAAGTATGCAAAATTAATTAACCAAAAGTAACTGACAAGCTCAATCCACAATATTGAAAGATAAATTAAAACTATAAATCCCAAATATAAACCATATGGATTGAACATGATAATATTTTTTTTTTAAATTCCTACACCTCAACACTGAAACTTGCAAGAGCAGTAGGCACAAAATGTTGTGGTTAATAGCTTCTTCTTCTACCTTTCTAGCCTCCCAATGGAGCATAGGCCCTCAACCAACTCAGGTAAAGTCATTCTATCCTTTGCTATCACATGCAGCTCTTCCCATCTTTCTAACTTTATTCGCCAGCTCCCTTCTCCATGTGTTTTTTGGCCTTCCTTTTTACCTATGCCCCTGTAGGTTCCAATGCAAAGACATTCTAGTTATATCCTCATTTAATTCCCTCTATTCTGCGCAGGCACCAGTTAATGAATGTCTGTAGTTTATTAGTAATTGCTTAGTTGTTCTCCATGTTTCTGCCCCACACCAAGGTACTGATTTGACATTAGAGATTGATAACTGGGCTGAGATACATTCGTCTTTTGGCCTAGCCCATCCGATTTCAGCAAACCACTAATTAGTCAGTGCGGCATCTGTGGCTTAGACGTTGCAAGTCCGACTCGTAATTCTAACATACCCACTGCTGGCTGAGTGGATTTTTATCATGGTATAGGGCGTAGCAGGTCGACCCAGCCTAAAATGGGTACCAGGGTGGCTGTCCTGGGGAAGTAAATACGGCCAGCATAATGCTGACCACATTATCCACCTAGTGCCAATGGTCTGTAAAAATATGGGCGCTCTTCCCATATACCTGATGCGCCTTAAGGTGTGAAATGGGATCTTTACTTACTAATTAGTCACCATTTATGACATTCTTGTTAGCGCTCAGTGACTCTATTCTTTCTTCCTTCCAGGAACGTGACCTTGGTGCCTATATGGAGAAGCTGGGAACCCGAACCCCCACACTGTTTACACTTATCCAAAAATAATACGTACTCGACTCTCCAGCTGTATCTTGAAAGCAGTTCCTACAATTGTTAGAGCATCATTGCAGATGATGATGATATACCACATGTTGATGTACTCTAAATGGGCCGACCAGCTAAATGGCTTGCCTTTCTGCACTTTAAAATACTCGGCTGTGTCCTAAGCAATGAAACAAAATTAAATTTGTAATAAATTTTCACAAATAAAACAAAATAATCAGTATGATTATTACAGTGAAATAACAAAAAGACACATCACCTATACTTGACAATTGGTTACTTGGCAACCGTATTTTAGCACCCCACTATAACAGCGAAATTCATAAGCTGCTTAAATCCCCACTGGCCACTGGCATCATGAGAGCTAATAGACTGAAATGGTTGGGTCACATCGAAAGAATGTCAGATGACAGAGAGGTAAAAACTGTATACACAAGGGAGTTGAATGGTCGTAGACCACGAGGCAGACCAAGAAGACTATGGAGAGATAATGTCCAGACAGACCTGCAAACATTTGGTGTCACTAACTGGAAAGAGAAGGCCAACCAGAGAGATGACTGACTGACTTTCTACCCCACTAGGACACCACACAAGCTGCAATAAACACCTGATGACACAATGTGCCACCATGCGAATGAGGATCACCGTGGAGAGGTCCCAGAAACCGCGTTCAGCCATTAGACCATATTTAAGGCCGGGTTATATTGCGGCTCCTGGCAAGAGCCAGAGTAGGGCTTCAAATAACGAAAAATTGCATCCCAAATTGGGATGACGAGATACAACCAGAGAGATGAATGGAGGTGACTTATATCTGCAGCAATGAACCTCCCTCAAGTGCTATATGGCTATACATATGAACATGGTTTCTTGGATTTGTACCTGTTTGATTCTCACCCTTGAGATGTTATTGCAAAATATGGCTGGGTCCTTCTCTCAGAGCAGCTGGTTGTCCACTAAAAGAAATGCCGAAAGCCCAAACGCTGTGGCTCTAGTGACAACAGCCAAGGTTCTCTGACCGTATACATGGTTATTTTGAGTGTTGCACTAAGAAATGACACTCAAGCATTCAAAACATTCCTATAAGTGCTCTGTCCTAATCTTCAGCAGCCAGCGAAGAGTTCAAATACCAACGGTGTTATCAGTAGCTTATATATCTGTCTTGTGTTTCCTCTAAGTGCCCAGTGTTGACCAGGTCTCTCTCCATCTCCTATATACACTCGCTTTGTTTATCTGCTGAAAATAAAATCAAACTCAGAGAACAATCTCCATTGCTATGGGAATAAATCTCCTGTGAAACAAATGATGGAGTCTGAAACTAAACCCACAGCCTTAACAGAATAAGGCATCTGGTTTAGCCACTTGGTCAAACAAATGCCAAAACCATACTATAACCATGGAACCTAGAGTCATAACCCACATTAAACAAATATCGTTATGCTCTGTCAAAGGTATAAATTCACAGTATCAAACTGATTCCATATAATCACCTTGACTCTCTGAAAGTATTCAATATAAATCCAGTGAACTGTGACTAACCAGGGATTGTGATCTGTGGAGACGCATGAGCGCCTACGCCAGTTAGCAGGGCACATGATGATGATGATGAATTAGTGACTAAAAAGCTTCATGAAAGCTTTTTAGTTTACAGTTCATGGAAATAATTTCTCGATATCAGTTTGACCGGCACAAAAACAGAGCGGTTATGGGATGACCTGTTTGAAGTGAATTTTGAAACCTTGACAGATTATCTAGACTAACTAGAAAAACCATGTAACGTACCCTCCTCAGAATGTTACAACGATGCAACGATCGTGAGCACAAAATTGTTGACAGACAACACACAATCATCACAAATGCATCAAATGCAATCACTTTTGCTTTCATCGTCTCTTGTTTGTCTAAAAACAAAAAAGAGCAAACAAGTTAACACTTGTAAAAATTAAAAATTGTACATCTACAAATATTTAACTGTATTCCAGTAGTAAAGTGATCTTATCTTGCAAGCACTTTATCGGAGACAGAAATACAAAGGCAATATGAAATCCTCATTTAAGAACTGGGGTGTTAACGTTGAATACTGAAAACCCCAATGTTGACCTCTCCACCTAGCATAGTTAAATCTCTCCTAGTTCAGGCAATTCAAAAACAGATTTGACAAAGCTTTCTGAGTAGATGCTGCACTGGTTACTCTTTGTTTTCTGCATTTGTCCTGAAAATCGTAGCTGGCCCCTTGCATTGCGGTTTACAGCCCGGCTGTAATGTCTGTGGTCTTTTGCCTAACATATTACATGACACCAAATCTGCGATTCCCAATATGCTTGTTTTGGAGCAGTAAGTGTATTCTTTTCTTTCCTCGAAAACGGGTAACTTGAACCCACATGGGGAACTGGGTCATTCCCATAAGTGCTCCATCCTCATCTTCAACAGCTAGAAAACAGTTACATTTTTGAGTATGTTGTAGTAACCAACTTCACAATATGCAGTTTGCTTGGCATTCTTGTCAGCGCTCCTGTCCTGTACAAGACCAGTCACAGTCATTGAATCAAGTGACACTGTGAATTTAACAACCAGACCAGGCTGCAATAACAGAAAGACAAAAGGAAAGAGTGGCAAGTATCACTTCAGAGGTACCAGGTAGGATCATTTGGATATTTTCTACAGGTAATGCTGGTGTGTTGGAAAATGAGCAGGCAGATAGACTGTCTGGTTCTGCACCACTTGGTGGTGAACTGATGCATGACAAGCTAGACCTTGTGAGGGCCCTCTGGGAGCGAGTAAACAGTGCAAAGGCCCAGATAGATAGATCATTATGGTCTAAGGAGAATGGGGCCAAGGGGAGTTACCAGGGGATCTGGCCGATGCTCAACACTCAAGGGAAAGGGGAGATGGATATACAATCTGACGGTTACTGGTGCCGTAAAAATTAGAACTCTTCGCCTGCTGCTAAAGATTGCTAAAGATGGGGATGAAGTGCTTATGGGAGTGTCCCGAGTGCTAAGATGATTCCTAAATCAACATTTAACAATCATCAAAAAAGACAAAAGGGGTAAAGCCAGACAAAAGCCTTGACACGCAGGAAAAAGAAGATCAGAAAACCAATGGTGCTATCAGTCACTACATGTTAAGGGATATAATGTGGGGATCTGAGCAGTTATGAACTTAGTTGACAGATTATCATCACGAAACATCAAACCATTCAGTTCATGACAGATTATCATCACAAAACATCAAACCATTCAGTTCATGACAGATTATCATCACGAAACATCAAACCATTCAGTTCGTAAGTGCTTAGATCCTCGCCTCAGTAAATCCTGCGTCCTGCAAAGTGCTCTTTGCCTGGCCATACCCCTTTTAACTTGCTGTTCTTGCAATCTGGTTGTGGTTGCAGATTATAACTTGATTCTCGCAAAAGTCTAATTTTTTTCTCGTATAGCATTTTGAATGCTGAATCATAAACTGAAAGATTCAACATGTAGCGAGGATGAAAATAATTAATAACAACCCCCTCCCCTTTGTTCCAACTTAAAAGGGCATGTGTTCTGGTTTATAACAAGATTGTGAAATATGTGCCTTTTGGCCCAACACATCCGATTTCAGCCAATCCCTAGATAGTCGCCTTGTATGACATGCTTGTTAGGAGGCAGTTGGTTAATCTGACTCTAAAGTGGGGCCTTGTTAGGAGGCAGTTGGTTAATTTGACTCTAAAGTGGAACCTTGTTAGGAGACAGTTGGTTAATTTGACTCTAAAGTGGGGCATTGTTAGGAGACAGTTGGTTAATTTGATTCTAAAGTGGGGCATTGTTAGGAGACAGTTGGTTAATTTGACTCTATAAAGTGGGACCTTGTTAGGAGGCAGTTGGTTAATTTGCCTCTAAAGCGAGACCTTGTTAGGAGGCAGTTGCTTAATTTGACTCTAAAGTGGGACCCTTTTAGGAGGCAGTTGGTTAATTTGACTCAAAAGAGGGCCCTTGTTAGGAGGCAGTTGGTTAATTTCACTTTATAGTGGGACCTTGTTAGGAGGCAGTTGGTTAATTTGACTCTAAAGTGGGGCCTTGTTAGGAGGCAGTTGGCTAATTTGCTTCTAAAGTGGGACCCTGGAACCCACAAAAGGATTTTATTTCTCTAATCATATTGTGTCTAACTTACCTTGGGCTTCATCTGACATGATTTTCCCTTCACATTCTATTTCTTTTGGTTTAGCTATGAGATCAACAAGCAACTGGCCACTTCGCTCACTGTTGGTATAGATAACCTGAAATACGCCAAAATAAAAAGCTGCAAGAATTCAACTTCTTCTAAAGAACATCTGATTCCCCCCCCCCCCCCCCCCCCCCCAATTAAATCTTAACAGTGGTGCAGGATACATTTAACGCTTAGGTTAGTTGCGTATCCTTTACAGGACGTTGCCGAACCAACCCCAACAGCCCCTGGCTGTTGTGTGGTTTTTCTAGGCAGATTTACGTCCATTAGTTTGACATACATTTCACGCTAGTAAAAGCAAAAATAGTACAGGAACCGTTGTTTCCATGCCATGCTGGATACAGGGTAAATACAATTGCAGAACAGAGCCAGTGACACACCGAGAAGACAGAAGATCATAAATGATGACCTCATAAAGAAAGTGAGAGTAATATCAGTGAGAGATCTCATCTGAAACAAAAAGTGAAATTGTTTGGCCATTTAACCTGGCTGCCAACAGACAGTATACCACAAAAAGCAATGATGTACACACCAAATGGAAACCATAGGGCTGACCATGCAAATGATACACAGCTGAAATTACTGAGTCTCTGGGAAAACCCAAAAATGAAGCAAACAAAGGAGGCTGTCTCCTGCTGTTATTACTTCACCTCAAGACTGCAATGTATAAGAAGACCAAGAGGAGATGAGGCAACTGTCTTAACTATTTATATCTCTTACATCCTCCAACCATTTTCCCAACTTCTCCCCTCTTGATGTGCACGTACAACATTCATGACTATGTGTGGGTGTTGATATGAGTTACATTTCATGAAAATTATGTTACACATGTGTTAAAAAAGTGTTATAAAATGTGAATAAATGTGAGATCAGTGTTCGAAATGAGAAGTGTGACAATAAAGATGGGTCTACATGTTGGCAATCATCAGTTCCAAGTAGCCAATCGTCAGTCCTGGGGAGCATGGGGTTGGGCTGCTAGTTTTCAATGAAGTACCCTGAAAGAGTCAAGAAAAAGCGTCTTCCGGGCCCCATCTGGAGAAACAGATTCACTGTTCCTTCATAAACTGTCGTATAAGGTGACTAACTAAGGATTTTATCAAATATGTGCCAGGTCGAAAAGCACAGATATCACAGCTTAGCATAATATGACAACTGGCCTTTTAAGAGAAAATGCAAAAGAAGAGGAGGAGGAGAAGAAGAAACAATTATTCTTTATATGTGTCTACTGTATCTCACATTTATGATTTTCACTGATCTCAGCAATACTGAATTAATCTGGCATTTCCTGATCCATCTTCCTTTTGATGCAAGAAACTCCTCCTAGATTGACTCTGTCTTTGGCACCTTTCCATCTTTCCAGACAATAGTGTTATACTGTACCCAGCACAGTGTGGGCTCATATCCCATGGTGATCTCTAGTGTGACTAGCAAAAGCCGCCCGTGTAAAGAAACCTCTTCTACAACTAGAGAATGGGATTCCATGACTACTGTTATCATAACATGCATTTGGTGTGCCTCTTCTTGGACACGTCGGCTCTGTGGCTAAGTCGATGCGAAACGCTTCATAATGCTGGGATGCCGGGTTCGATCCCAGCTGCGGGCCATGCGCCTTGCGTTGGTTTCAACAGTAGTATCAAGAAAGCCGAACGTCCAGAAAGCAAAGGCAAACTACTGGACGTAAATTTGCCTAGAAAAAACCACACAACAGACAGGGGCTGTTGGGGTTGGTTCTGCAACGTCCTGTAAAGGATACGCAATTAACAGCTGATGTTCAGCTCTCATCTGTTCTGCAAAATTCCCTTCCTGATTAGCCCCCCATACACACAACACAATTCACTGCATTCTGCTCCCATGAATTTACCTCAGTAGCTGTATCCTTCACATCTTTATATTATAGCAGAGGCTAGCCTCGGCATGTTCTACCCATCTATAATTCACCATTTCATACTAGACTACCATTGTAATAAAAGAAGATAAAACAAACACAGCTAAAACTTACATTAATGGAGACATTGTAACAAGTTGGTCCATAGTGTGTCTCAATCAGGTTCAAGTGGAAGGTCCGAAGGAAGAACGTTATTGTTATGTCCAGGGTTCTTGTACAAGGGGAAGAAATCAGAGTTCAAGTTTAAACAGAACATATTGGTGAATACAAAATAACATCATCATAGTGACATTTCTAATGCTTAAAATGCATGAAGGAGCAAGCTGGAATGTTACAATTCATTTATAAGCCAGTTGTTTACTGAGTTAAGTTGAGTCGAGAATTGACATCACAGCACTCGGGGCATTCCCACGCATGCTCTGTCCTCGTCTTCAGCAGCCAGTGCAGAGTTCCAATACTGATGGAACAATCTGGTTAAAAAGTCTGTCTTGCCTTTCCTCTGAGGGTAGTGAACCAGCCAGACCCTCTGTTTACACCCAGGTGCCTCATTCTCTCCAGGCTATTAAAAATCTTCTTTCTCTACTGATTCCGTGGCTTGTTCCCAAAAGGAGTTGTTTACTGTAATTAGCTGACTCAATAATTAATTGTATCCACATTTTTTAAATGTTTAACATACATGTATGTGAAAGGTCTTAAAGAAAGGGAAGGGGGGAATAGAATGGGAAAGCAACGGGGGAAAAGAAGAAAGGAATAAAGAAAGACAAAGGAAGGAAAAGAGAGATAGAGGAAAGGGTGGTAGGAAGAAAGGAATTAAAGAAGGTATGTAGAGCCAAAATAAAAAGGCACGAAAAGGAAATACGAAACCCACATTTCCAACATAATTATTGCATAGATAAGAAACACACAAAAAAACTAACCTGTTGAAAGGTAATGTAAAATTCTGTTCTTTCAAGTAACTCTGTATATCATACCGAGTACCATTTACACCCAGTGGATTTATCTGAGTGCAATCTGAGGAAAGGTCAATGTTCATAGATAATGCTACTAAAAATAATTTCACTGAAGTTTTGAACATCTAAATCAGTTAACTGACATTATCTGATTTTGTTAATTTAAAAGAAAAAAAATTTTTTTGTTAATACTAAAAAAAAACTTTTAAAAAAGGAATACAACCAAAAAAAAAAAGGGGTAAAATAATTTAATGTTGTAATGATAAAAATGCAAGAGACAACTGTTTTACATAGGCTTATAAGAGAATGAGGTTCAGACTTCAGAAGAGCAGAAATAAAGATGCAAAGATAATTCAGTTACATCAGCGGTTCTCAACCTGTGGATCAGGACCTTTTGTGGGTTGAACGACCCTTTCACAGGGCTCGCCAAAGACTATCGGAAAACACATCTTCACTGAAGTTATGAAGTAGCAATGAAAACAAAAGCATGGCTGAGGATCACCACAACATGAGGAACTGTATTAAAGGGGCACCACAACATGAGGAACTGTATTAAAGGGGCACCACATTAGGAAGATTGAGAGCCACTGAGTTACATGATCAGATGATTTGAATATCAATGCATGTGAAGATGGCACTTTGATATAGGGGCTAGGATTTTTTTATTTTAAAGGAAGAAAGAGATGAAAACTGAAACAGGAAGGAAGGCAGGCAGGCAGGCAGGCAGGCAGGCAGGCAGGCAGGCAGGCAGGAAGGCAAGCAGGCAGAAGGCAAGGCAGGCAGGCAAGGCAAGGGCAGGGAAGGAAGGAAGGAAGGAAGGAAGGAAGGAAGGAAGGAAGGAAGGAAGGAAGGAAGGAAGGAAGGAAGGAAGGAAGGAAGGAAGGAAGGAAGGAAGGAAGGAAGGAAGGAAGGAAGGAAGGAAGATGATAGGGCATTTGCTGAAATTGGATGTGTTGTGCTAAAAGGAGAAGATATTGCAGCCCAGCTGTGAGTAACAACCTAGCACACGTGGTATATTTGAGCCGAATGCTCACTAGTTGTAACCCCAGAGAACAGACTATCACAAATGACACAGAGTGTCCCAGCCCTCTGCAATGCTACCCTTACATAAGGGAGAGTTACTGCAGTTGCCATTACATACTCTAGTTTCCTCTTCTCATATCATGCCTAAGAAAACAGACAGTCTTCTTCTGTGCAAATACCCAGATTTATTCACGAGTTGGCCACTTTTAAGACTTCATTATGCTTTTTGCCTTTACATGATGTTCTCATTACTCTTCTCTAAAACCACATCTCGGCAACTTCTATATAATTTTTCACTCATCAGCAGTCTTTTCATTGTTTATTTTCGTACATCCGAAAGAGAGAAATAAAATGTTATGTAGAACCTACATTTCTGTATGGTAGTGAATCATCGAATGTGAATGCACAAATAAGAGAAAGAATTTGGAGGTGGCGGAGTTGTGGTTTTTCTGATCAATGTCAAGAATCCCTTGGACTGCTAGAGTAGCTAACTAGGATTGCTTGAAGGAAGCTAATGAAAGCAGATCAACATAAACAGCTATGAGAATGAAAAGACAAGCACTGTTCTTTGACCATGTGATGAGGGGGTAAGCTTTGTAGAATATTATGATGGCAGGGAAGATCAAAGGTAGAAGAGGGAGAGGCAGACTGAGAGAGATGATGATGGATGGACTGTGACTTCATCAATGGAACTGATCCAGAGGACAAGGGACTTAGATCTATGGAGAAGCATGAACTTCTACGCCAGTCGGCAGGGCATGTGATGATGATAATGACATTAGCATAATCTCTTTACAGCTTGTAAAAACTCTCTTTTCTTGCCAAACTTGATAAAAATTGCTTTAGAACAGTGTGTCCCAAACTTTCCTTAGTCGCTGTGCCTTTTTCAATTACAAATTTTCCTATCAACCTAAAAAAAACTTTTATGAAGAGATACACACACACACACAAAACTCATGTATTCAAATATTTTGAAGCACCTCTGTGAAGAGGTCGCGGCTCCTGGGGCATCGCGGCGCACAGTTTGGGAAGTCACTGGCTAAGAATATTAATCATCTTGTGAGATGTTGCTTTTGCTTGACCTATTCCACGTTACTTCAATAAAATAACCACGGAACTTACTATGCATAACGGTAGCTGATACCACATAACTGCCATTGGGAAATTCTTCAAAATCATTAGCCCTGAAGCATAAAGTTATTGGGTATTGCTGAATTGCTGCAAGTGACCATAACATGAATTTGTTTTTGGGACTTTTGTCGGTCTATAAAACAAACTGGCTTGAATGACCTACCTCAGATTATATAAGGATAATTTTAGAACAATCAACAATCTGTACTGTAAGGATCACATGCGCCTATAAATATCACATATTTTACAAATAATGTTGACAGGGTATAATTTGTAACTGTAATAATTTTGCCACAGAAAGATTCTCAGAATTCCAAGGACAAAGAAGAAAAGAAGTACTGACATTGTAAAAGATCTGAACATCAAGAAAGATTGGCTATAAACATCTTCTTGTCTCAGAAGCTGAAATATTTTGGCCAAATCAAACGGCATGGTGGATTGAAAAAAAAATAATACCATGAGAAACGGTAGCAGGAAGATGGGCAAAGGATAAAAGAAATGCCTTCGATATGAAAGTGCACGAGGCAGAAAGGGTGGTGAGAGATCGGGTGTCTCTCAGGCACACTGTAATGGAAGTGATGTTCTGCAAAAGACCTGCTATAGGATTGTGAATAACTTTGCCGGGGTAGATGAGCCTACTTTTAGGTAAATCCAACTTCTTTTGGATTTTTACCATCTGTAAAGATTACAATTTACCTCTTATTTCTTTTCTTATTCTATTCCAAGTAATCCAAACATTCAGTCTGCAATGTTCTCAGGTGGGAGAAAGGAAAACACAAAAACACTATCATTATGTGCCAAGCTGAGAAGCACTTATGATGTTTATTCACAAACATGTGTCCTCTGTGATCCTGGATAGGCAGAGAACACCATCTTCTATGCCACTCTGCCAAAACATTCAGCATCTTCTCTGTCTGTAAACCTCTTTCTCTAATGCTCTTGATCTCCCTGGTTGTCACAATCTTCTCAGGCCCTCTTGTCTCATAAAATGACCACAAAAGGTTTTGCTCCTCATAACAATCTTCTGTGAAGGACTATCATTTGGTCACAATCTTAGTTCACAAGTGTTTACTTTATGGGAGGGTGGCTGGCAGAGCTACAGGGTTCACAGTTTGTATGATCTACACACCAGTTATCTGGAGAAAGGCTGAAGTAGATGAAGTCAACCCTCTTACCCTTAAAGGAACCTTTTCCAACACCTTCAGGCTTACTAGTCATGCAGTGCTATGCCTATACATGACAAACTAATTGGCACTCTGTGGGTAATGAGGCAAACATCACAATGGCCGCCTTTACTTCCCAGGACTTCCCCTGGTATCCATTCAAGGCTAGGTCGACCTGGAAGCCATTCTTAACCATATTCATTATTTTTATCTCAAATACTTATTTGTGACAACATAATTATTAGGTAACTTTCTACTGCCCAGAAGTGTTGTGGACAGTACATATTTCTATGAGAAAAACCTCAACTTACAGATAGGTGATTTGTATGTATGCTTGTTTCTTTTTGTATCACTGCTGGTTTCTGCCGTAGGCTGATGAAGGCTTTCAAGCTGCAATGTTTATTTGTCGTTAATGACTTTGATAAGATGAAGCTAACCAGTTCAACTTCTCGTTAAGACTGACACATTTTCAAGGCATTATTAAGCTTACCCGCTCCATGACAGCATTCATGTGATCAAACAACTCAGACATATTGTAGACAGCATACTGTCCTGCCGCTGGGGGATACGGTAATGTCTCGTAGGCCACATTCCAATCTTTCAATAGTAGGTGTCGGTAGGTGAGCTCACTTCTTTCAAAGTACTCCACTGTGTTCTCTCTCTGATCTCCAAATATGACAATCTGAAGAAAACAACAATAGAGTTTTGAAGCAAATGTATCTTCACTTCTCATTTTTCATAGGACTGGCCATGTCTGTAAAAGAGTTGAGTTAAGTTGATTCAAGAACCGAAATCTCAGCACTCGGGGCATTCCCATAAGCGCTTCATCCCCATCTTCAGCAGCCAGTGAAGAGTTCCGATATTAATGGTGCCGGTAGCATTCTGATTAAACATCCGTCTTGCCTTTCCTTTGAGCCTCGAGCATCTGCCAGAACCTCTCGTCACTCACCCCTGCATCAATTTCACCAGACTGTGGTGATCCATCTGCTCCTCCGAACTGTACATGCTCTCCCACAAGGCACTAACCACGTCTGCCTTATGCATAAATATTCCCCAAGTTGTGCACAGCCAGCCAGTCTATGAGCCTGTTCATTTCCTAACATGATATGCCAGTAAACTTGTACTGGGTATTGTGAGCAGGCACTAACATGGCTGCTGCATTGGAGGATGGGCGGAGAATGGGTCCAACCGAAGTGCTTGGATATGGATACGTGTAACAAGTTTAAATAAATGTATAGGTGCTGTGATTGGTTAGGTATAGTGCCCATGTCTAACAACACACTGATTCCGGGGACTATGTGGCTCTCGCATGATGAGTGTCATAGGGAAAAACAATGTGTTTATTTTTCCTAAAGAAAATGGAAACTGAAATATTTAATACTAGCGGTGGCGCAGGATCCCCAGCCTTTGCATGCTTTTGTTATTATATGGTCAACATGTTCTCTGAAGGACAGACTGCGATCAAACCTCACTCCAAGATATGTCATCAGGTTTGTTCTCGTCAAAGTTTTGTCACTGCTTTCCACTGCTGGTAAGTCTACCTCCACAATAAGACCATGCTACTGCAGCCTTTGAAGGGTTGGCAAGTGTATTAGAATCTACGCACAAGGAGGAGATGCGATCAAGTTCACTCCGCACTGAACTGGCAATCTCTTGAGGATCTCTTCCATGTCGGTATACCAAGATGTTATCCGCTAGTGACAAAGTCCTGCCACTCCTGTACAACTGCTGCTCAGTTATCAGTATGGTATATACACTGAAAAGATTTTGGAGACAGCGTAGAACCCTGAGACAGTCCTGGTTTTGAGGACCAACAACCACATCTGAGTATCACCAACCTCTGGAACAGTGCCGGGGACAACAAAGGGCAATACTTGCAATTTGAGAAGTATGAGCACTAAGTATTCAAATGGCACTCTGCTGTACGCTTCCTCTAAGTCTAGTGCGGCTGCAGATGTTTCTTCTCTCATCTGAAAACCTTCAGTAGGCTACATAGGCAAAAACTGCTGCACTGAGCCTTGTCTCTTTGCTATTCCTGTATAGTGTTATAATGTGTTATGGGGAGGAACGGAAAACAGCCTGTGAGTGGTCATGGTGATTAGCACAACCCGCCTTTATGTTAAACAGCACAAAGCTTATCCAGTTTTATAGACCATTTGATGCACATGCATCATGATCTCTCTGTCTGTCTCTCTCTCTCTCTCTCTCTCTCTCTCTCTGTCTGCTTTGTTTACTCTAAAGGAAAGGTAAAACCAGTACATTATTCTAGACAGACATCTAATAAAATTATCCTCTCAGACAAGGATGAACAAACAAGAAGCACAGTGTTGTACTTTGCCTGCACAGTTATTAGAGCAAACAAGAAGCACAGTGTTGTACTTTACCTGCACAGTTATTAAAACAAACAAGAAGCACAGTGTTGTACTTTACCTGCACAGTTATTAGAGCAAACAAGAAGCACAGTGTTGTACTTTACCTGCACAGTTATTAAAACAAACAAGACGCACAGTGTTGTACTTTACCTGCACGGTTATTAGAACAACCTTGAGAATCTGGAGAGTAAGCTTCCAAGGAAAACCATGAAAATTTCGAAGTTTGGTGATAGGGTCCAGGAAGTAGAGTTTGTTTCTCTTTCGCAGCTCATCCACCATGTCTGGAGTGTAGGAGGACTTCTGCCTTGTCAATCGTGGAGATCTGCAAGCACATACACACTGTGGTGCTTAGTTACCCTGCATGTTCAGGTAACTAACTGTATTTGACATGTTTCAACAAAATAATCTGACAATATTGTTTTTAAATACTAGTTTTAACTATTTCTTAAACAGATGATCTTTCATGCCAGATGTCAAACTGTCAAGCACTTTCTATGTCCGACTCACTATGTTTCATTGCCCCTGTCAGGATGTACTCTGGTTTTCTACTTCTCATGACGTGGCCAAATAATGTAGACTGCCTCAGCTTGATGTAGGCAACTAATTCAATTCAAAGGTTAACCCTAATGCCATTTACACATATTTTTTAAATGACCCCCTTTTTTCCTTTAAATTTTGTTTTTAAAAAAACATGCATCCTTATAATTCATTGGAACTTGAACCGAAAAAACCAGAAGAAGACGAAAATGGATATGACGAACCATGAAAAAACCTGACAACAACATAATGTCACTGCAACAGAATAATGACAGACCAAAACACACACACACAAACAGATAGAGAAGTAATGCAAAAAGTGAAGCCAAAACAATGTTAGGACTTGGGGTGAGCTACACATGACAGCAAAATATATGATGTTTTAGCAACAGTTGGTTAAGGGCCTAATGCCCCACTGCGGGGTATAAAGGGCAGAGAAAGAATGAGACTTACTTGGAACTAAGTATCTGACTTATGTTGAAACCTTCGCTGAGGCTGGCTGTACTGCCTCGAGCCTCATCACTAGCAGCCCCTGATGCTGATGAAATACTGCCATAATTTCGCATCCCTGCTGCCATCTCATCCAATTCTATTTGCAAGAACACAATATACATAAAACGTATTGTTAATATTCCAGAAACACACAAAAAGCATGTTCAGTATAATGTTATTGTTGGCTGCTCTTTCTTAGTGTTTATCGGCTGTAAACTCCGGTGGAAAATTCTGGTTGTTCGTCCACTTCTGAACTTCAGTCTAGTTCCAGAACTTGAATTTTCCATGCACATCCATTTTACATATCTGGCCTACTTGTATAGAGACTGTTGGTTTCTCACATTTTTGGCAAAAGAGTACCATAAGTACCAATTAATCAGCTCTTAATCTCCAAAAGTACCAAATCCCCAGCTACTCTTCATAAGTGTCAATTAATCGGCTATTCTCCTTAAGTTCTAAATCATCAGCCATTCTCCGTAAGTACTAAATCATCAGCTATTCTCCATAAGTACTAGATCATCAGCTATTCTCCATAAGTACTAAATCATCAGCCATTCTCCGTAAGTACTAGATCATCAGCTATTCTCCATAAGTACTAAATCATCAGCTATTCTCCATAAGTACTAGATCATAAACTATTCTCCATAAGTACTAGATCATAAACTATTCTCCATAAGTACTAGATCATAAACTATTCTCCATAAGTACTAGATCATAAACTATTCTCCATAAGTACTAGATCATAAACTATTCTCCATAAGTACTAGATCATAAACTATTCTCTATAAGTACTAGATCATAAACTATTCTCCATAAGTACTAGATCATAAACTATTCTCCATAAGTACCAAATAATCAGCCTTTCTCCATAAGTACTAAATCATCAGCTATTCTCCATAAGTACTAGATCATAAACTATTCTCCATAAGTACTAGATCATAAACTATTCTCCATAAGTACCAAATAATCAGCTATTGTCCATAAGTACCAATCCATCAGCTATTCTCCATAAGTACCAGTTAAGTAGCTATTCACCATAAGTACCAATTTATCAGCTATTGTCCATAAGTACCAATCCATCAGCTATTCTCCATAAGTACCAGTTAAGTAGCTGTTCACCATAAGTACCAATTTATAAGCTCTTCCCCATAAGTACCAATTAATCAGCTCTTCCCCATATGTACCAATTAATCAGCTATTCTCCATTAGTACCAATTAATCAGCTATTCTCCATAAGTATCATTTTCTTCTGTGTTTGCTTTAAAATTATGGGTGGCTTGTTGTGTCTAATAGGCATTTCTTATATCTGTGATGAGAAAAGGAGCACTGGAAAATATGGTGATGACTAGACAGACATCACTGGTAGAAGAGGCAGAGGCAGACCAAGAGAATTGATGGTGGAGGGCTTAAGACAAGTGGCATGGAGGAATATCATCAGTGGAACTGATCCACAACACCAAAGATCGAGACCTGTGGAGATGCATGAACGCCTACACCCGCTGGCAAGGCTCGTGATGATGATGATTTCTTATATCTAGTCACTGATACACAAAATAAATACTGACAACATTGGGCGCCTATGACAGTAACACTAAATATATTAATGTTGATGCTATTGCCTGCATTTTCTATGCAAATGCCAATATAAATACAATGTCACAAGATACCTCTCTTTTACAGCAAAATTATAATTTCTTCTCCTATGCGTTCACTGGCTGTAAACTCCGGTGGAAAGCTCTGGGTGTTTGTCCACCTCTAGTCATTAGTCTTGCTACAGAACCTGAGTGTGGAGTCCACATCCGTTTCATTTACCTGGCTTATGTGTATGCAGACTTGTGGTCCCTTGCCTCTCAAGCAGATGTACGCCGACTTTGAAAGAAATCACCAATGAGTCGACTCCTACGACATGCTTGTTGAGAAGGCAGTAGGTCGATTATTGTTCTCCCCAAAATAATACAGGGAAAATTATAATTTAGTCTGATGGCATCATGTTCCTTCTGGGCAAGTCATTAAGGGAATCCCAAGAAAATATAAATATACAGATTAAAATTCACAACTATTTATTACATGAACAGGTGGTTTTAAATTGAAAAAAAAAATTAACTAAATTATATAAAATTAAACTGTTACGTACTAGCGATAAGGACGTTAAAAACATAGTAACAATTCATTCATACAAACTTATAAATAGTTACAATTATTATTATTATTATTCTGTTATAACCAGAGCTTTTTTCCTGGAGGGGACAGGTGCCGGTACTTGCCGTAAAGTGTCTATTACAGAAGTGCTGAACAAGTGATGATTAAAAAGGTGCCTGTACTGTGTACTGATGCGTACCACCAGGAAAAAACCCCGTTTATAATTAACATAATCACAAGCAGCAGGAAACTGACCACATTTGTGGCTTTCTATTCCCTGGTGGTACACAGTAGTACCGCCACCTTTTCAAAGGCCTTTTCCTCCCCACACAACTGTATTAGACACTTCATGGCGAGTGCCGGCACCTTTTTATAGACCCTGTGTGGTGAGTACTGGCACCCTTTTTTCTGGGGGTGGGGTAAAGGTGGGGGGTGGAGGGGTTAAGTTGGGGGTGGGGTCCCACAATCATCAAGTGCCAATTGGTCTATCAAAATAAGAGGTTATCATACTATACCTAATACACTGTAAGATGTGGAAAAGGGCTCTTGGCTTTTTTCTTTAACGACATGTTAGAACAGTTACATAGCAGAGTCAAATAAAGGACATCTTTCCACGCCTTTAGTCATACTGGGCAAATCGTGTTAGACCTCTACTTAATAGATCAATCCGCACTTGGTGGATGATATGGTCAACATTGAGCCGGCCGCCTATACTTCCCAGGACTTTACCCGGCACCCACTCATATATATATATATATTATATATATATATATATGCATGCAGCTTAGGTTGCACGACTGTATGCAGCGTGGGACATAAGCTGCACTCTCTCGTAGGATGTAGGCTGAGGCTAGGGGGTTGGGGTTAGGGCCAGTTTTAGATGCTTTGGGGTCGTTAAAAGCGCTCATATCCTGTAATATAGAACACACGATATTAATTGGCCGCTGAAAACAACGAGTAAAATACTACGTGCTTCAGGCCTGTCACTAAGCGTGACACCGCCCCCCCCCCCCCCCCCCCCCCCGCGCAACATAGGACAAGCCCTGCAATGCGAGGCATAAATGGCAATGAAAGTCACTCTTTCTGGGTCGGACAACGTTACAAGCACCAAAATCTCTTTGTCTGCTTATATTTCACCCGCTTGATTCATTAAAAAAGCAATTAAAATCATAAATGTTAACCACACACGGTACACCACAGATATTAAATAAAATAGTCCACAACAAAACTGGCTAAATATCTGCACTCAAACAACAAAAACAAAATCCTACGTTTCCACATCTCGACAGATTGAATAATAACATCCACCGGACTACGTCCTCTGGCAACTGATAACACCCCGCAGTACGGTCTGGCCAATTGCAACGTCCAAGTAGGTGTACGGGGAAGGTCATGGTGATGTAAATACAGACCAACTTCACAAGAGATAAGGCAGGGGTTATTAACACACTACATCCGATGCCCTCAGCAGGTCATTTATATATGTGTATTTATATATGAATACATACATATATACATTTATATATACACACACACACATGCAGGAAGTCTTGGTGAACAATGTGTTTACTGAAACTATTATGAAGCAAAACTGAATCAGAGATCTCCCACTTCACCCCCCCCCCCACCCCCAACCCACATTTTGTCTGTGCTTGTGTGAGTGTGTGTGCGCTCATATGTGTGTGTGTGAATTAAACAGATTTCTAAAACAATGTCTAATAATGCAGGCTGTAAATGTGGAGGTGTGTGTGTGTGTGTGTGCGTGCGCGCGCGCTTGAAAGAGTAAAAGAAAAAAAAAACAAATGAAAAAAGAGCCGGATATGAAAGAGTGTGAGAGAGAATGGAAGAAGAGGGACGGGGGAAAGCCAGCTCACTGTTGTTGCTCGTCAAACGGCATTAGAGCGTCAATGAGGCAGCGAATACACGAAGTTTCCCGAGGTTCATGACCCTGTTAAGGACTTGGGGGAAAAAATGATCTGAAGCCTCTTGTGCTTGCTCTGCCGGTAATTGTCACTACCTTACCAACAGAGTCGGCGTCAGAGGTTTAGGTGAGCCTAGTAATGCCGGGGTGCCGGGTTCGATCCCAGCTGCAGACGATCTGTCTTCCGTTGGTTTCGACAGTGGTACCGAGAGCTGACCGTTTAAAAGCATTGGCAAAACTAGAGAACGTAAAATCTGCCTCGAAAAACCACAACAGCCCCCCCCCCTTTTTTTTCCCCAAACACATGCGATTGGTTCTGCAACGTCCTGTAAAAAGAAACGCAACTAAGTTTTAACTACCAGCACAACCTATTCAGAAAACAAAGGAATGTCATGTGTGGCAAAGCATGGACTTGTTACGGCATCTGACAAGGTACACACGGTGTGATACTGGCAGTGGTGGCGGTGAGGATGATGATGGTGATTAAGCTTCCTTTCTGTTGATTTCAGCACTATACTGAAGTTCTAAACGTGATATTTTAAAAATATATCTGAGCAAAACAAATGTATTCGAAACACTTTAAAACGCTGTCCCTAAATACTGGTCTCTCGACCTCTAAAGGGTAATAGGTCAACGACACATGCCAAAAGCATCCAGTTTGATATATGTTGTATCAGCTGTCAACAATCAATTACTGACTGATACAGATTGTATCGACCATGCAATCGATCGTCAAATTAACGCCTGGGCTGTGTTTTTATCAGTTAGAAATAACAAAAGAGAGGACTCGGACTGCTGGGCCCCAATAACACTGATGCAGAAATTACTTCTTTCGCCCGTCAAACGGCGATCGGAACTTTACGTTGGGGTCTACAGCTAAACTGCGATATCTGCGCCGTTCGAAAGAAAACTTCCGATTTCAACAAACTTCTGATTATACACCATTCTACCTGTTTGTCATGGAGCATCATGTCCCCACCCCACAATTGCGACCACAACTGGGCGAAGAAAGCCAGACGCGGAAGTCGACACCACGG